TTATTATTTTTCCACAAAAATTTTTAGCACAACTGTACCTTGATTTTTTTTTTACTTAATTCATCCATCTATGAAACATGTTTCATTCTTTGATTCTTCTTTTGATTTTCTATTTTTGAACAGACTACTGCTTTTAATGTTTATTGCTTTCTTTTTGTAAAAATTTATTAACTTATTCTAATTTGTTATACATGACAGCAGAATGCATTTCAATTCATAGTACATCCTATAGAGCACAATATTTCATATCTCTGGTTGTACACAAAGTAGAGTCAGACCATTCGTGTCTTCATAAGTGTATTTAGCATAATGATGTCCATCTCACCATCTTTCCTACCCCCAGGCCCCTCCCTTCCCATCCCTACCCTTTGCCCTGTTTAAAGTTCCTCCCTTCCTTCCATGCTCCTCCCCATCCCCATTATGGATCAGCATCAAAATATCAGAGAAAACATTAAGCATTTGTTTTTTGGGAGATTGGCTTAATTCACTTAGAATAATATTCTCCAACTCCATCCATTTACCTGCAAATACCATGATTTTAACGGCATATCATCTTCCATGATTTTGTAAATGAAAGTTTGGAGAATAAGAACCTTTGGAATGAGAACATGTTGAAGTAGAAGATATTGTAACCGTTTTTAAGTGATTCTTAAAGTTCTCATGAAATATAGTCAAGATAGTAATATTTCCACTTGATACTGATTTGAAAAATTTTCCTGATTTGTTTCAAGTCAGAGAGTTAATAACATTATGTAAATTTGTATTCAAATCCTTAATGTGTCAAAGTCCTGTTTTATCTAATGTATTATGCTTCCCCCAAGTGACATCAACTTAGATTTGCGAGTACCTGTAACATAACTATTTCCCCTTTCTTAGGATTTAAGAAGATTAAAGACTTATTTAATTCTTCTTCATTGAAGTAGTTTTCCCCCCTTGTAGGCAATGGTGAACACTAGCCCTCTTCAATGCATATATTGGTAAGAGGTACAGACATTAATATCTAAGTGAAGTAAGACTAAATGGGATGACAGTATTTAAGGAGAACCTGAAAATATTCCTCTTTTCACAAGTGTGGTGATATATGGATCTTCTAACTGAGATCAAGTAAATAAATTTAAAGGCAAATGAAAGCATACATTTAAAATGAAAAAAAAATTCCAAAGGTTTGCTTAGCCTTCTAAACTATCATTAAAATATCCCTCTATACATATTACTTGGATAAAATCCATAATGGTATTGTAAATTATAAAATGTATATGTGTCAAAATATAGAAGAAATTCCTACAGCTGTATTAATTGATGGGATAGAGTTAAAACATTTTCTAGTGGTCAGTAGGAATTCTAATACCTGTAGGAAATTAAAAAGTAACTTTGACCTCTTCTAATGACAGTCTCTAAAATAGGCATAGATGTTAAAGCCATATTAATTTAAGAAACTGCACCAGGAACAGTACAGGCAGACAGAAGGATCCTCTGCTTGAGGTGAGGATTCCTTTCACTTGTGCACACTGGTTGCAACACAACTCTATAAACAGGAAAAAGAAGCTGTATAATTATAACTACGGTTAGAAGATAGCCCACACCTGCATCTAGAGGGCTGGTATTACAAGCTCAGCAAAAAGCCCTATTGCATCACTTTTGGTTTGAAGATCCACCTTCTTAGAGTCCTGCAAGAGCAGTAATACAAGGATTGGACCTGTTGCCCTACATACCTTTTTGTACTTTAAATTGAGTGGGCTTTGTGATCCTCTTCCACTGGCCTCCAGAGTTTACACATTGGGTGAAGACAGCAGTATTTGGAAAAACTGACAGGAACTAGAAATTGTAGTATCACCAATCTACCCTCTAGTTTTATACTAGAGATCTGTGTTCTGAAAGTTGCCAGTTCTTTAATAAACATGCCTAGAAACGAAGGGCTATCCCTTTAGATTTAATGATATCCTGTTCTATGTCAGGCTCTATCTCCACTCAAGGATGAGAAGACAGAAAGATACGCATTTTATAAACACACTTCTCTGGGAAAAAGAGAAATAATGTTAGGAGACAAAACAGAAGAAATGTAATCTGAAAAGTTCTTATTTTAGCTAACTCCAAATTTGCAAACAAAGTGAACAATAAGTATTCATAATTATTGAGATAACAAGAATAAACAGCAACCGTTTCAAAGATAATTCAGCAAGGAATAAGTGGACTAAAAATTCTCATCATATGTTAAACATATTTTAAAACTTGGACAATTTGTACAATGCAAATCTGAATTAACAAGTGAATGAAACTATAAAGGGAATCTGTAAATATATAAGTTTATATGAAAGTATTAAATATTCTTTAACTATGGCATAATAAGTTAATGGAAAATAAATGTATTGAGCTGAATATAAATTCTAAGGAATATATTATACACCAAAATGAAATAAGCAGATTTGTAGTTGGAAAAATTCAACATATTTAACTCTCTAGATGAAAATCTCTAAATATAAAAATATAAAAATGTTTTCCATGACTATTTCAAAAAATGAACACATCTATTATACAAAGAACTAATATAGGAAACAAGGAGGCTCTGACCGTAATGTAGCCCACTCATTGCTTGCCAAGGTTCACTTTGGCCAGCCTGGATGCCCAAGCAATTGCTCTTTTTGTCTATCACCGCTCCGTGATATTCCTCTCAAAAAACTTACTTAGTAAAGATTCTTCTTTAAACATAATGCTATTTTCTTCTACTTCAGCATTTCCCTGTTGGAACTTGAACTCAAGATTCTGATGTTTTAATAGACTTATATAGAAAATGTGAGCAAATTATTCATAAATATAAATAATAATTCAATATATGAGATTTTGCTCAACCAAACCATAACTCAAATAAACTAAAATCACTTCTACAATGAAGGTACATTATGATTTTTTCTCTCTCAGATGGACATAAAAATGTTAAGTAGTATTTTTTACATGTTCTAAAATGCCATTACATAATTTGTAGTCATAAAATTTTTTTAGAAACAATATGGTAGTAGTTAAAATGCTAACTTATCATTTAAGTATTATTATTATTTAGGTGATAAAAAGGTAACTATTTATTATATTTAAAAATATTTAAATAATTTGACCAAACAGATTTATTCCCAAGACTTGAGTGTAGAAAACAGTGGAAATACTCTAAGTATCCAAGTAGAATTCAGTAAACTACGAAAAATTTGAATAATAGAATAATATAAGATTATAGCTATAGTAAAATATAAATTAATTTTTTAATTTCTTAATGGCAAGTAATGAAATTTGAGACAGATTATCCTATGATGGATGTAACTTCTGCACCTGCCAAAAGATGTCCTGTGTCCAAAGATGAGCTGAAACTCATCAACAATTAAATAAATGTGCTTTATTTCTCCTTGTAATAATAAAGATTCTATTCCTTGGGGAATCACGTGGGCTTCTCAGAAAGAGAAGTCTTTTTAAAAAGACTGACCTGGGGATGTGGCTTAAGTGGTAGCGCATTCGCCTGGCATATGCAAGGCGCTGGGTTCGATCCTCAGCACCATATAAAAATAAAATAAAGATGTGTCCACCGAAAACTAAAAATACATAT